GACCTAATATCGCCGGTAGGAAAAACCAGTCCGCGACACAAATTAATCTGTCTCGAATGTCATCTGCTAAGCTATTATTATCACATTAAAGTACTTTCTGAAATTTCGATGCCACCCACTTTTGCGGATCGGCGAGACTAAATTGAAATTCTCCGTTCTGAGAACACAACGGGCATCATTTTAAATGTATAAATAAATTTTTTAGTGTTAACAATAAACGAAATGAAAATATCTGAAGCTGAAAATTTTTTTTTAGTAATTTGCCATTTTGAATCTCATTCTAAAATAGTTTTATTTTATTCATTTATTTAACATGCTGAGTTAAGTAAAAAACAGGTCAAATCAACTAACATTATAGCAGTAGTCTTAGATAGAAAGAAGCATTATAAATATAATAATACATATGATTTGCAATTTAAGAAAATTGGGATTCTACAAGTCAAAATGATACAAATATTTTTTGAACACCCTGTAGCATCTAATCCAAATTTCGTCGAATATACTTTTTACGTCATCTTCTAATGACGTTAATACCAAATATGATCTTTGAAAAATAATGGTGCAAATGTTTTTGCAAACCTATTTTTTTTTAGAAAAATGTAAAATATTGAAATAACTATTAGGTATAGGCATGTATTATTGTTAATAAAAAATCTTAAAAATGTTAAAAGAAATTCAAATCAAGAAGAAACGTGACTATATGTTGTTGAATTAGACAAAGCAACATTGCAGATTTAATTAACCAAAACATTGTTTAAAAAATTCAATTCTATGCATTAGTGCGACTACCTTCTTGGCCTGTCTAAGATTAAGGTTATGTACGTTTCTTTTTAAAGTTATTTTGCTATACAGTTAGGGATTAGACATGATAGAGACTATAATTATATCATCAAATCAATAACAGCTATCACAAAGTTTAAGTGACTTATGATGTCTACGTCAAATTTCACAAATAAGTCGGAGACAGTCATTTTGCACTAATTGAATTCTACGTTTGTTTAATTAAAAAAAAATAAATTAAATTTTGATAGAACGAGGGATTCACATAGCTGGTAAAGTTTCGAATCCTCAGTTTTTATAGTGTTGGTACTTTAGATGGAAACTCTTTGGGAATATCAAGGACTTTGTTAATTGATACTAAAAAATAGTAAAACTCAAGTTAATTAAAAGTTCGTAAGCAAAGTGGGTTTATTTACAGGCTTCAAAGGGAAACGAATTGACCTTTACAATTATTTTTATTCAAAAAACTTAATGATTTTGTTTCTTGCTCGACCATGGCAAAACGAAACTTAAGTGCTGAAATTACCAAAATTTTCAAATTTTTACTGCTACACTGCTTACTTACGTCTTAGTACCTTCAGTAGATATACACAACTCAACTTAATATCGCGTGATGAAGAACTTAAAGGAATCTTAATAGGCCAATCCAAAGTTATTGTTTAAATATGACGTCAAAGTTATTAAATGTTGATTAATTATCCATCATTATTTCTCCAAACTTGGTATATTGATTTTTCATACCCATTTACTTTAAAAGTAAGATATATTGCAACCTTCTTATCAAGTGTGCAGGGGACTCAACATTTTACCACATTCAAATCCATCACCTATATAACCACAGAATACCCCGACTTATAAAATTTTTGACAGTTAACCTTAGAACCGATAACTGAACTGAGGTGGCTTTTACTTGATGAAAATCCATTTATCAAAATAAATAAATAAATAAATATATATATATATATATATATATATATATATATATATATATATATATATATATATATATATATATATATATATATATATATATATATATATATATATATATATATATATATATATATATATATATATATATATATATATATATATATTTATATTTATATTTTTATCAACACATTGATAAAGACACAGTGTTGTCGAAACAATTGTCATGTCATAATATATTGGGTTGTTCGGAAAGTCATTTCGTTTTTTTTGGGGAACATGAAAGACAGTTTTCGTATAATGAATAAATATTTTATTAAATTATATATTGGCCATTCTGGTCCAACACCTTTTGCCATCTTTCTGGCAGTAACATAATTCCCCTCTCATAAAAGTTTTGGTCCTTGCTGGCAAAAAACTGGTTCAGGTGGTTTTTGACATCTTCATTTGAGGTAAAAGTTTTGCCATCCAAAAAATTTTGCAGTGACCGGAACAAATAGTAGTCGGAAGGCGCCAGATCTGGAGAATATGGTGGATGTTGCAGTACGTCCCATTCAAGCTGTAAAAGTTTTTGGCGAGTGACCAAACTTGTGTGAGGTCTCGCATTATCCTGGTGGAACACTACACCCTTCCTGTTGATTAATTCGGGCCTCTTCTCTTTAAGTGAATCATTCAATTTGTCCAGTTGATGACAATAGACTTCTGAATTAATCGTTGTATTGTCCGGCAAAAGCTCGAAAAAAACGATTCCTTTGACATCCCACCAAACGGAGAGCATCACCTTTTTTTGGTGAATGTTGGCTTTTGACACGCTTTGAGCCGGTTCATCTTTTCTGCTCCATGACCTCTTGCATTTAACATTGTTGTATACAACCCATTTTTCGTCCCCAGTAATAATCCGCTTCAAAAATGGATCATTTTCTTGACGTTTGAGGAGCGAATCACACACGTCAACGCGACGACACAAATTTCGCTCCGTAAGGACATGGAGCACACACACATCGAGCTTCGAGGTTAAGCCCATGCCTTTCAAATGGCCATAAATAGTCGAATTCGACAAATTTAATCTCTCACCGATCTCTCGTGTGGTTATTCGCCGATTTACATCAACTAATGCCTTTATCGCATCTTTGTCAGCTTCGACCGGCCTTCCAGACCGTGGTGCATCTTCGACATCAAAATTGCCGGATCGAAATTTTGCAAACCAGTTCTGGCACTGGCGTACTGTTAACACGCCTTCTCCATACACATCCGTCAATTTTTTTCTCGCTTGGACAGCATTTTTACCTTTTCTGAAGTAAAAAAGTAAAATATGACGAAAATGCTGCTTATTGCTCTCCAGATTTAAAAGGGCACCAACCAAAAACTACTGCGTAGAATTAATAGAACTTTTTCACACACAAGCCTCGCAATATCAGCTCTCAAGACATATAATGGTTATGCGGCTTAAGCGTGAAGTTGGTTTCGAAAAAACGTAATTAAGTCCTCTGACGGGAAAAAACGAAATGACTTTCCGAACAATCTTATATAATTTCGTGAAAATCTGAACTTTTAGTTATTTATTTTGATAAACTTTTAGTTCTTATTTATTTTGATAAATGGATTTTCATCAATTAAAAGCCACCTCAGTTCAACGCTATCCCTATGACTAGAAGCATTATTATTAATTTTAGTCTGGTGAGATCTATCAGATAAAAAGTTCTTTATACATTCTAGTGCAGAGTCTTTAATGCCATATAAACCTAATTTTGTAATAAGAATGTCCCTGTCAATAGTCTCTAATGCACGTTTGAAATATACAAAAACACTCAGAATTAGTTTTGATATTGCAACGCAGATTCGCACTGGTGTTTGCTCCTGAAACCAGACTGTCCACTGAAGAGTAGGCAGTTCCGCTCCAGGTAGTCTCTCAACTGCCGACCCACTATCGTTTCCAGGAATTCTTGTGGAATTCTTTGGGTATAAAAATATCAAAAAGTGGTACAAAAATTATATTCAAAATACATGTCTTAAATTATGTTAATTTTTAACTCTCTTCTAATTTGTATTTGCACCGGATCGAAATAGATATGTTGTCACGCTTTTTGAACAGTCGGCATGTAAATTTTTGTCTTCGAAATTTTATAATTATACTATAACTTTAAATCAGCAGCGTGTGGACAGGGGGAGTGTAATTAAAATTTTTCATTGCTGCGTCGAATCGAAAATTCGCTCGATTTGCATTTCAATTTCACACTTATTGTGCATTGCGTTTATACTGCAAATATACGGGACAAAATGAAAGGCGTAAATAATCGAAAATTGTTTATTAATTATGTCGTTTGTACACCATAATTAAGACATATACAAGTACGTTTGCAATATTAATTATTATAAATTAAGTAACTACATTAAAAATAGCGTCTAGTTTATTATCTACAGTGTGTATATTTACAAATCACTAGATGAAAGTGGCGCATGATGGATTGCGACGGAAGATGCTATAGCAGAATTATCTGATTTGATCGATACTTGACATTAACCCTAAAGCAGGGAAACAATCAGAGGGACCAGGGAAACAATTTTTGTGTATTTTTAAATTTTAGGATGTATTTTTTGGAAAGAGCTGGTCGGATACTGAGTTTTGAGCATTACGCTTCGATTTTGTATACTTCTGGCAAGTAGACAAGACCTGAAAAAAAAATATTGGTTTGATTTTAATTTGCTCTGTTAAAGCAGACGTAAGGAATATAGAACCAGATGCACAACGTAAGATCAAGAGAATTACGTTGGGAAATATTGCTGATGAGGTTTTACGGTTGGCTAAACATATTCAGGATGTTACAGAAAAAAATCGAACACAATCGTTTAAGATAAAATATCTTAAGAGTTTCTTAGCATAGATCGGTTAAAAACCCTAGTATTGCAGTATGGGAGCAACTGTAAATGAAGTGAATGAAGTATATATTAAAAATAATTCATGGTAAAGACTGACATCCTGAGATACTCAATTGAATAAATTACTAAAGAGTAAAGGAAAGCTAAAGGGAGTATGGACACTAGACAAGGCACAACAAAACAGATGAGCACTCTGGAAGAGAAAAGTACTATGTAAGATTGAAGGTGGAAAGAAAGAGGGTTAAATGTGAAAACAAGGAATTTAAAGATCTTTATAACAATCCAGATATAATAGGAGTTGTAAAAATCCAGCGATTAAGAATCCAGAGAATGTAATAGAAATAGAAACCCAAAACCACATTTTACTCATCCAATCGGTGTAAAAACATGACTGAGAAGACCGACTTGGTCTGCAGGGCCCATTTATAATCATTATTATTATTAAGAACGTTAATTAGTTCTTACAATAAGAGAGAATAAACAGCCATAGGTGTCGCAATCTTTAAAATGGTTGCCATAGTTATAGGCCAAGAGGACCACAGTGTTAGACAATTATCCCTCATTTAAGAAAAAGGTTAGAGAATGGATGTAAAATATGCCGAGACCTTTTGTGAATCAAAAATTATAACCATTCCCAACCGTAGTAGGTTTCGTTCCATCGCAAATCAGTAGTACTTGTCTAGTTATGTGATGACGAGCCTCATTTTTGCATGTCGATCTTCGCGCCGCTTTCATCCACATTTCTATACAACGGACACATAAATAGTGAGCTCTATAATACAGAAACTGAGATACTACGCTGATTTTCGATCTATTTACAATAAAAAACAATAAATAATGAAAATAACTAGAAGCGGTTTAAACGGTAATATAAAATAAATAATTTAATCGTAATCGAATTTATCACTGGGCAAGTATCCCGACCACACAATGGGCTGGCTATACATAAAGGCGCATGTACAAAACAATATACACATTTTTCGTTTCGCAAGAGATCGCCGGAATTTATCGGACCCAGTTGTAGAAATAAAATAATAAATTCGAATCAGTCTTTGCGCAATGTCTACGTGATACATTTAATACTGTTTGGAAGCACCCGGCGGATACGTAGGACCTATCAAAACGTCGACCTACACGCAGGTATGGATCGTTTTTTTCGTTCTGCAAACGTCACACTTCACCTCACAGCACCAATGAAAGGTACAGTTACATCTTTCCACCACTACGACTTCGTGAGTGCGATAACCCCTGCCGCAACACATTATATCGCACCCATCCACCCCTATCGAGTCGTCGTTGCATTGCCTACCGTGCGTACCTTGGATGCCCAGCTTCGGGTTCTTTTCGCAGAACCCCGGAGACATTTCGTAGTACACCAGGTCCTTGTCGCCGGGCGGCATATGTTCGGGATTGAACGGCTTCAACTGGAAACCATACTTGTGCTTCCTACGGTTTTCCCTTTTCGTGTGGATACTGTTGGTCATCAGCGCGTTCAGCTTGGGATTTTTCGGCAGCCTGTTGGAGTGAGCCTTGTTGTTGCGCGGGGTGCCTACGTTGGAGCCCGCGATGTGTGAAGCCCCGTCGAAACGGTCCTTCAAGATGTCGCCGATCACGCGGAAATTCGGCACACGCATCCAGCAAGTTTTCACGGTACAGGAGCCGGACATGCCGTGGCATTTGCATTCCTGTCTCATCTGAGACTGAACGTGCTGGAACGAAAAAGAAAAAACGAATCGTCAAAAGTCTACGCGGCGGCTTATCTACGGTAACAACTCGCATGGCGTATAGGGCCCCGAGCCAATCGTATATCAGCATAAATTACTTTCTTATAAAGATCTTATGTAAGGAAGTAGTCAAGCGTGAAGAGATTTATACGGAAGACTTAGGCGGCGAGATATTTGTTTTATTTACGCATGTGTGCCGGGCGAATTAATGAAGTTAATTTTGTGTTTAGCGTTTAGATTAAGAGACGACCGGCGGCTTCGATTTAATGCTCAATCGCCTCAACCGAAAATCAATTATCTAGAGAATGCTTACACTTTGACGAACTACTCAGATACGGCCGAATACTTCAATTCGATTATTTAGATTTGAAGGGCACTAAAGTTAACGGGAAGTGCAATGAAAAACAAGTGCGTAGAAATAGGATGTACCGTTCAATCTACAAACAGAGGTGCGAAAATAGAAATGCTAATTTTTAAAGATCGTTGATAGAATAAAAGAAACATAACGCATTTTACATGAAAACGCTTGAATAGAAAGCACGAATAATATACAATAATAGACGCAAAAAGTTGAATTGGCCTTTCTTTCCAAGTACATGAATATGGATTAAAATCATACTATTGGGACAGCACGATCATCGCTTTTGACTCTATTGATTATACACATACAGAAATTGTAAAATCGACTAGAAAATTACATAAACGTAGATAAAAATCATACTACCGAGCCTGCACGAGTCATGATGAAGGCTTTTGATTCCATCTATTATAACTATACCTACGAAATGTTTAAAACCTCATTTTAACCAGAATCACTAATTTGGTTTTGTTCTTTTCAATAGAAAAAAAAATACAACACGAAATATTGTGGAAACTTCGTATATGTTATAGACTTGCATTAACGACACCCACCCTCTAATTATTACTCAGAGTTTGAAACCCTCTGCCTATGGAAATTGACAATAAAAGTTCAATTTGACTCAATTTATCATTTGGCGTTTTGATTCAGTACTGCAGTAATTTTTACCTTATTATATTGTGTAACCGTTTAAAAAATATATTTCGTGTTTTTAAAGAAACTTTCATAGGCTACTGTAATACTTTTTAAAAAGAGCTTAACTAAAACTGTCAGTTTCAGTCAAGCTCTGAAGAAGGCAACAGGATTATCGGCGAAACGTTAGCAAGTTCGAGTCAACAAAAACCGACGCAGGAGGAATAATATATTGTGTGAAATGCATTATAATTCATCACTTGTCCTAACATTTACAAAAATTTCAGAAATTATCAATTTAACATGAAATATGAATCACGTCACACATATGTGATTATTGTCATAATTCCCAGAAGTTACGAATGAAATCTACTTCCTAATATATAATATAAAGACAAAGGTGCGAACTGGTACAATACTTGTTTATATTTATATTCCCTATACAGTGAGCACCAGAAGTGCAAAATAAATTTAGGTAATTAATTTTTTGCATTTCTTGAAACTCGTGCCATTTATATTTACCAGGGTGCCGTAAATATGTTTTATCAGAAAACCCTGTTCATTATTCCGGTTTTTCCGAATAACGTTATGGGTGTTTGAATTGCGGTGTGCTGTCAAGAACTCAGTGCAGCACGGCCCGTGCATTTACTTGACTCAACGGTTTAAAAATCTTCATTTTTTATTCTTGTACTGCATTAAATATGTCTAGAATATTCCGGTAAATCTAGAAATGTCATAATATACACGATGTTTGGTTCAAAAATATATTCATGTATGCTACTTCTCAAATGGGACGTGTTTAACGTTTTTACCAAAATGAACTACCTAAATTTTAATATAATTAATTCCTAACTTTCGGCGTTTGGCGCTTTTGGTTTCAATCCATTTTCATTACGCTCAAGTTATTTTTGTGGCAATCATCCAAACGACCCTGTATTGCAGAAACATTTTAATTCTGAGGTGCAATTAGCATTATCGACGTCTCTGTTGTTATTGTTAATAATAACACAGTGTGAGTTTTCCAAAAAACGCCATATTTTTGCTCTATCACGTCATAAATATATTATTTTATTAATATACATACCTATGACATGAATATGATTGTTCCATGTTTCGCATGATTTTTAAATGAAATACGTATGTTATAGTTATGTCGTAGTAAAGCAAAGGCAAACTATAGCTTCTTTTGTAAAAAATGTATATTGGTGTAAATATTGGCGAGCAAGTCAAGTCTTGTGCTCTTCATACCGTTTGTTCCGTTAGGTAGGAAGAAATGTTTAACCTTTTGTGTTGCTATGGTATGACGAGAGCCTAGGAAACATAGTAATGATTGTTATTTTTGTTCAAAATGATATAAAATCAATGTTCGAAATAAAATCGTCTGTCAAAAAAGGTGTAGACCTGCGTAATCAGTCTAGCACTCTTACTATAACATAATGGGCGGCGAAACTATGGATGCGGAACGCCGCGGCGCAGCAAAACAAAAGCGGGCAATCTGGGACGTGAAAAACGTTAAATTAAAACCATATCAAACACAGATGCGAGGACTGTTCGTTCTCCCGCTGGCCCCCGGCTATTTATGTGTCATTTATGTTAATAACTTAATATTATAACCCGAGAGAGATCGCGGTGTGAGAATAGGCGACCTTTCTTCGACACGAGGAGCCGCAATGGCTGCCGGGTGGTCGTCCTCATATTAAAACGCATATATTAACTTGTTACGGAGCGACCATTACTAATAAAGTGACATTTGCTCCGGGCGTCAAGTTGGTGGTCACGGTTATACGCCATTAATTCGTTGGCGATATAAAGTTGAATTACTCGCAAGCGTTTTTGAACGACTCATTCAATTTTAATTAAGGTGCACGGTGATTGAAAGAGCAGCCAAGATACGAGCCCCGGAATTTCACTCTATTATCGGAATGTGTTAAAATTAATATCTATTATTTGATACCCTCAATAACTGTACCACTTCTTCAAAAAAAAAAAAAGTATAAGGTTGTTTGGAAAGTCATTTCGTTTTTTCCCGTCAGAGGACTTAATTACGTTTTTTCGAAACCAACTTCACACTTAAGCCGCATAACCATTATATGTCTTGAGAGCTGATATTGCGAGGCTTGTGTGTGAAAAAGTTCTATTAATTCTACGCAGTAGTTTTTGGTTGGTGCCCTTTTAAATATGGAGAGCAATAAACAGCATTTTCGTCATATTTTACTTTTTTACTTCAGAAAAGGTAAAAAGCTGTCCAAGCGAGAAAAAAATTGACGGATGTGTATGGAGAAGGCGTGTTAACAGTACGCTAGTGCCAGAACTGGTTTGCAAAATTTCGATCCGGCAATTTTGATGTCGAAGATGCACCACGGTCTGGAAGGCCGGTCGAAGCTGACAAAGATGCGATAAAGGCATTAGTTGATGCAAATCGGCGAATAACCACACGAGAGATCGGTGAGAGATTAAATTTGTCGAATTCGACTGTTTATGGCCATTTGAAAGGCATGGGCTTAACCTCGAAGCTCGATGTGTGGGTGCCCCATGTCCTTACGGAGCGAAATTTGTGTCGTCGCGTTGACGTGTGTGATTCGCTCCTCAAACGTCAAGAAAATGATCAATTTTTGAAGCGGATTATTACTGGGGACGAAAAATGGGTTGTATACAACAATGTTAAATGCAAGAGGTCATGGAGCAGAAAAGATGAACCGGCTCAAAGCGTGTCAAAAGCCAACATTCACCAAAAAAAGGTGATGCTCTCCGTTTGGTGGGATGTCAAAGGAATCGTTTTTTTTGAGCTTTTGCCGGACAATACAACGATTAATTCAGAAGTCTATTGTCATCAACTGGACAAATTGAATGATTCACTTAAAGAGAAGAGGCCCGAATTAATCAACAGGAAGGGTGTAGTGTTCCACCAGGATAATGCGAGACCTCACACAAGTTTGGTCACTCGCCAAAAACTTTTACAGCTTGAATGGGACGTACTGCAACATCCATCGTATTCTCCAGATCTGGCGCCTTCCGACTACTATTTGTTCCGGTCCCTGCAAAATTTTTTGGATGGCAAAACCTTTACCTCAAATGAAGATGTCAAAAACCACCTGAACCAGTTTTTTGCCAGCAAGGACCAAAACTTTTATGAGAGGGGAATTATGTTACTGCCAGAAAGATGGCAAAAGGTGTTGGACCAGAATGGCCAATATATAATTTAATAAAATATTTATTCATTATACGAAAACTGTCTTTCATGTTCCCCAAAAAAAACGAAATGACTTTCCGAACAACCCAATAAATATATTTGGTTGAGTAGTCATTGCAAATGTGCAAGAATGTGTTTTATAAGTTCTAGACCAAGGTCATCAGCAAAAATGAATCTATTTATATAGTCGATACGATTCGCGATGGCATAGTCGGTCATAAAAGCAAGAGAGAAGGTGCCTGAGTATTTTATAATACGACCAAAAATGTAGTGCATTTATTGCTTTCGCGTTTTAAGTATATTACAGTATCTAAACCTTAGCAGATGTTTATTTTGCATTAAGCAAGTCTTGCCTGAAATGGACACTAACGAATCTTTGTAGGACCATTTTCAATTAGTGAAAGTGTATCAAATGTATCGACAAGAAAAGAAGAAATTATCAATTTTCAATGGAATTGGTGCGAGCTCAGTGCACGGGTATCTGTTTGGAAGGCATCTATCCAGACAGTTAACAAAGAAAATTTTATCAATTGTATAATTCATAAATAAAACATTATAAAAGAATACTAAGAACGAGAGATGTAATGATACGGGCACTGGTTTTAATGTAGACGAAACATCATTTTCTGGTAGTAGCAGTTACAATTTTGACTCTGATACTGAAAATATTTCGTCGAAAATGCAAACTAAATATGGTTTACTTGTATATTTACTCTTCATTAGTTATTATAGTATTAGTTAATTTTTTATTGCATGGACAGTGTTTTTAACATAATTTTTTCAGATTCACCTACCTAAATATGC